TTTGAGTTAGCATAAAGAAGTGACAGCACATGAAATGTTACTGATGAATATGAATACAAAAGTTCACAATAGAGAGACATTGCAGAATAGAGGAAGGTATCCTGTAGCTTGCAATATCTATATCTAATATCCATTTTAATACTGATTAATTGTAGGATTTGTGGTGCTTCATATTTCTGAATCAATTTCAATATATGCAAAATAAACCCTTTCAACTGGAGTAATGTTTTCAAAAATACATTTCTTAGACATTTAGAATCCTGCTAAATGGCTTCAGGGGTCTCTGTACAGATAACAAGGTAGAAGCTACTCAGATGGGGATCCTGGCCCCTTGTTTGCTTCAACCAAAGGGCTGCCCTGATGCTTCTTTTATATATGTAAATTATGTTTCCTAACGTGTTAACACTACTTAGCTATATAATCTCCAAGATGTTTCTCAGCTATCAAGTTCTGTGCAATGTTTAATATTCCTAAGGTCAAGAAGAGAACAAAAATCTAGTAATATCTTGAGTAAAAATGTACCTGTGATAATAATATTAATAACTGACAGATGCAGAATCAACAACTCCTACTACCATTTAATGAGTACCTGCTGTGTGCCACACATATAAAAATGTTTAATCCTGTGTACAATCTCAAAGGTAAGGGTCTAGAACTCCATTTCCAGGATGAGGAAGTGGAGGCTTAAAATGGTTAAACACTTTGTCCAAGACCAAGTAGTTAAAACAGTGGTAGGAGTGTAGCAGGGCTAGCTGCAAAGTGCACACATTTGCTATCACACTACCCTGTCTTCCAATCTTGTCTACAATAAAGGAGAAAACTAATGTGCAAGAAAGAGTTTCTGAAGGCTTTTGAAAGAAGTAAAAAGTCTTACCTAAAATGCAACAAATGATGTTTGAGATTCAAACCCACATGCTCTGACCAAGCCTATCTCATTTTAACTTGTGCCATGTCTCCACTGTAGAGTAAGTGACGCTGGGAGACCATGACAATAGACATGGGATGCCTTGGGTTTTATAAAGGCCGCCAATAAACCTGGTTCATTTCTATATTTGGCTAAGGTCAAATTTAATTAATTTTAATACAATATATTCCTTGAAGAAACAAAATTCACAGGAGAATATATTTCTGAAGGGCTCATCTTTTACTAATTCTCAATAATTTTAAAAGATTTTGTTGAGTGTCATTTCTAATTATTTTCACAATTTGTTGATAATTTAATAATTATCAGCATTTTCAAAGATTTTTAACAAGATATCATTATCAATTATAAACCATCGAATAAATAATGGTAGTCATAAAAGCATCTAAATAGCCAACTTTCTACTTCATAACTTCATCACACATTATTACCTTGGCATTGAATAAAACCCCTTTATTTGCCACTGTCCAACATATTTCAGTATGTGGTACCATGCCTCCCTAACTAATACAGCTTCCCTTAGCTTTGGCTGGGAAAATAGACTATGGTAGTTTGTGCTCCAATACTGGCTAGCATTGAAATTTCTACCTATCATCCTTGCTATTGACTGTAATCTTTTTTTCCGATTAAAATTGTTATTCTTTCTTTCAATTGCCTCATATCTCTGTATTTTTATCCTGTTATGCTTTGCCTCTGAAAGCAGGTATGATTCTTTGATTTTAGAGAAGGTTAGGTCTAACTAATGAACAATGATAAACCCAATAAACAACAGAAATGGGGAATTCCTGTTGATTTATCTATATTTCTTTTTTTCAATTCTTTTTGTGACAAAGCCAGAGTGTGCAAGGTATACACCATTAGACATTAAATGGAAGAAACAGAACAAACTTAATAACTGGCACGTGGAAACTGGAATGGGGAAATCTGACTTCAGTGGCCATGAGCTACTCTGTTTTCCAGAGAAATGGTTACTCAGAGCAGTATACAAGCTTTTCATAGATGAAGTAAATAGCATGTAAATGCCAGAAAAGTGATTTTTTCTAATTTGTCCTGTCTATATTAACATCTTAGGTGTTAAAAATAAACTTGTAACTATTTTTAGAAGCTAATTTGATTGGTATAAATTTATTTTAGTTTCACTGATATGTTGGTGGAGACAAAAATATACTGTTTACCCAACAGGATGAGAGTCAGACTGCTGCTTTCAGCACTTGGTATCTGTGTCCTCTGCTTGATCATATGCACTGGCAGATGCTCCAGTGCCACCCAGATGGAAGTCACTGAACATCTTGTAAATCTTATATCGCAGCCACTGACATCTTGTAAATGTAGAACTGTCACTCTGTTCCAATAACAGGATTATGACTAAAATTAATAAATACATTGGGAATAAGTACAAAAACAAATATTTTTTTTTACTTTATTTTGGAGCAAATGCTATCTCTGTGTCATGGCAATATTATAGACTATACACAATGTTAATATTGCACAAAAATAGTATGCACAAACATTAATAGTTTTAAATGTTAGTATTGGAACATCTAGAATGGTGGTCCCCAACCTTTTTGGCACTAGGGACCGATTCTATGGAAGATGATTTTCTCATGGGGTGGGGGCAATAGGCAGGGGGAAGGGGGAGCTCAGGTGGTCAAGCACAGCCTTGTTTTCCTAACAGGCCACAGACCAGTACTGGGCCACTGTTTGGGGATTGGGGAATGCAGATCTAGAACAATTCTGCATCTATCACAATAAATTAAACTATAATAAAATTTGCTGATATTTTTATGTAAGTAATATGTAGCTTTCCCTGCAAATATAATTAAAGTCATATTACTGACAAAATTTCATGATACACTTTCATGTAAATGTATCTTATGGTTCTGTGTTGATTAAAAACACAATTCAATCTCTAACACAGATAAATCATATATGAAATGGGACAATACATTTCATAATTGATACATGATTTATAAGTCTGCATTAGTGATAGTTATGTGTTGTCACACTGCAGAATCTCATACTATTAAAGTACTTTACAGAGAAATACAAGTCATTTATATTTAGTTCCTTAGTTTTATACAATATTTCTTTCCGATTATATTAATCATGTTTTTATTCTCTATATTTTAAAATGCTTTGACATCTTGGGGCCTTACAGACACAGGAAGAGACTACTCCTCACAATGTTAGCTAATTTCTAGAGATAGCAAACCACTTGCCTGTGAGTATACCTTTGATAAGCAAAGCAACCAATCCTAAATATGTACCTCCACCCACCTGCTTTTATCAGTCTCCTCCAGTCCAGATTAACCCATGGCCAGGTTCCACTCTGATTGCCCAGACACCACTGAAATTATTCAACGTATCTAATTCTAAACTACTCAACTTGCCTACCCTGTCTGGCCCACTCCTTCCACAAAAATCATAGTAAAGGCTGTGTACCATCCTTTCTCCTCATTCCTTGTGCCTTCACGCCAATCTTGGTGCTTCCATGTATAGCCCTGAGTGGCATGTCATGTCCCTTCCTCTTGGGAACTGTGAGTCACAACCTATCTTTTCAATAGCAATAATTTCCTTATTGGTGACTATAAACAAAATCCCAGCACATTTTAAAACACGACTCAAACCTACTTTCTTTCAATAAACTCCAAGTCTATCTCAGTTCCATGAATTGAAAAGTTTTACATAACTGGTGTGAAGCTTATGAGTCTGTAGAAGAAAGCAAACATAAATAGTACAAAAAAATGAAGCTTTCCTGAATGGGAAAATATCTGGGTTCTAATCGTGGCTTGAAAACTTATTTGGTAATTAAATATCAGGCAATATGTTTAACCATATACATTTTCTCTTCTGAAAAAAATGGTGATTTCTACGTGAAAGGATAGTTCTTGATTCACAAATAGGCTGCTACACATTAAGTGCTCAAAAAATGTAGACTTCTATTTCCAAAGTAATTGACTAACAATTGCAAGTTGGAAAGAGATAATTAATTTTCAGTGTTCCTTAATTTTTAGTTACAACATTTATGTATGCTCAACTTATTATAAAGCGATATAGAATCTTACAAAGAAAAAGCAAATAAACACCCATCCCCCCCAGCATACACACCCTACTTCATCTCACCCTAATGTTACTATGTAACACCTTCAACACCTTTTTCAAGGAAAGAGTTGAAAAATTTAGATTTAAAAAAATCACAAAGTGTTCACCAGACAAGGCTTTTCTTTAGCAAGAAATTTCAGGTAATGAATGTAAAAACAATGCTAGAATTATTAAGTTACCAATTTTCAATCCCCATTATTATTTCAGGCACAGCTTATGAATGCATTAAAAACAATTAGATTAAAGTTTGTTTTTTAGGGGGAAAGATACTGCTACAGTGCCAAGGTATCACACTAGACTTTGTATGTAAATCCTCATGGGGAAAAATAAGATATATAAAAAGATAAATCCTATAGGTTATCGCTTTAAATGAGTGATCCAGATTAGCATCACTAATATTGTGACATGCTGAAATATGTGCCGCATGATATGATGTAATTCAGAAGCACCTCCAATGAAGAAAATAGTCTTGGGAAAACTTTCATTTGAATACAATCAAGCCTTTAGAGCTAATTTTCTGTGTACAGAAAATAACTTTGGGGGCAAGATGGCTGACTATAGATATTGGTTAGCAGCAAAAGCAACTATAGCTCTATTTGTGTGTTTGTGTGTATACATTAATAACAAATATGTAAAAGTTCTAATAATGTTAAGTCTAGGTGGGGTGTATACACACATTTATTGAACTATTCTTTAAACTCTCCTGAATGTCTGGAAACTTTTGCAATAAAAAGAGGAGGAAAAAACACCTGCCCTGCAGGTGTTCCTATGTGCTTAATAGGTGATCAGCCTTTAACTGTGAGGATCGTGTCCCCACAGATTCCGATTTTTAACTTGGATTGGTACTGCAAAAGTAAAAACAAACAATCACATGATTTCTGTGTATTTGTGGGGTCTGAATGTTGTTCTAAATTGTTTATTTGTGTTTTCTTGACTCAGTCTCTTTCTTTGTATTTGTATTTTATTGTTCTGAAAGAAACAGAGAGGATGATTGGATATTCTTACAAGTATCAGGCTGTGGAACAGAAGCTACTCACTTGCCTTGTGATCTGTTAATAGCTGATTAAACTATAATAAAAGAAATGTCACCAAGATGAAACTGTAAGTACTAAAATCTGGAGACCATGATGTTTTCATCTTAGTATGAGCAAACACTGATCCACTAAGTTTTTCACCTACTTTAATGGCATGCTCAGTCACCTATAAGGGCACGAAGCATTATTTTCTTTAAGAAGCATCTTATAAAATGAACATGCCTATGTTCACACCCCTTAGGCACTTTGTGAAGTGCCTTAATTGTGGGAAATCCTTTTAAATTTATGGTCTCTTTTATGGAGTAGAACACTAATTGGTAGCACTATTAAACAATTGGTAGAAGTTTTCCCATTCTTACTGAGGCACAGCCCAGTCCTAGGTCAAGTTTGCACTTTTGCTTCCTTTTCTTTTGTTTCTGTTGGCTCTGGATACTGTTAGATTTAGGTCATTTGTTATTTTTACCAATTAAAACAATGAACTTTGCCAAATTAAAAGGGTTGCTACCCCTTTAAGTACATTTTTAATAATTCATGCATGAAATAGGACTTTCCTTTCCCTGCTGGAATGAACAAAATTTCCTCAGAGGCTGCTTTAGTGTTATATCTAGATAATGATTTTGGATTACAATCTAAATCATACTAGAATAACTGCATTAGAATTACTATGATACATCATTCTAATGTACAGGCCTATAGTATAATGTTACTCCAATAAAACCAGTGAGTCCCAGAACTAGAAGTGTGTGAGAAAGGCCTTGAAGACTGCCAGAATATATATCTTTACAGAAGGAGGAGAATTCATGGATTTGTAACCATATAAATATATGGCCATTCTAAAGGGTAAATGGGAACAATTTTACAACTGCTGCAACAAGCAGACAGTAATTATAAGCCACATTCATAAAATGGAAAATGATTCAAAAATCCTTGGGTGCTAAAAGCAAATCATCTTGGCTTAAATGCAACTGACATGCATTCACTTGAATTTGAAATTTGGATCAATTAACTTTGGGTTAAATGATTCAGCTTCTCCTCATGTTTGGCTAGAAAGCATGATGGAGTTAATGGTCTAGATTTTGGAGTTAAAGATTCAAGTTCTAGTCTCTCTTCCACTGCTTTCTAGCTGTGTGATCATGGGCTATGCATTTACCACTCTGCAAACAGGTGTCCTTATTCATAAGATGAAGACAACAAGAGGTAAATTGCAGCCTGGTAAAATAGGATTAAATAGAATATCTGAAATTCTCCTGACAATAGGTTTTTGATGTCTGTTTAAATTATGGATATATGTGGGCATAGCACTCTTTGCCCATCTAAAACAACTCCCTTAACACCCTGCTGGTGCCAAAAATGTCCATTATTTTCATAAAATTCTTAGTTCATATGCAAATATGTTCCATATTGAAAAATCTTTCAAAGACTTCTGATTGCCTTAAAATGAGGTCATATTTGGCTAGTACTTTTTGTGCAACTTTTCATCATCGGTGCTATTTATCTCTCCAGCTCTGTTTTTTAAAAAAATTCTTTCCAGAATCATTCTGAACTTTTAAAAATTTCCTTTAGGATTCATACTCCCACTCAACTTCTCAATCCTTTATGACTCATGCACTCTCTCAGCTTCAGAACTAGTTTCTCTACCCAGAACATTCTTCTCCACCCTGTTCATCAGGCTAACGTCTACTTATCTTTCAAATCTCTGTGTAGATACAACTTAATTTGGGATACTCTTCTTCATTTCCCAAGTTCAAATTGGATTCCTCTGCTATGCACTGCCATAGCACTTATAGCACCCTACCTTCTCTATCATGCAATATTATAAGGGTCTATTTATTTTTATCTACTGCTAGACTGAAAACTGCATTACCAATTCATGAGGGATTATTTCTATCAAGTTCATTGTTATATTCCCAATGCTTAGAAAGGGACCATCACATGGTATACAGAGGAGATGTTTGTTGAATGAATAAACAAATATCACAAGTTGCACAGATATTATATTGTATGTTAAAAATTAAGATATTTTAGTATCTAGTATCTGCTATGACTTAGGGTGACTAACTGCGAAGCAAATGTACTTTGTCTCCAAATGTTCTTTGAAATTTTATCCAGATGGAACTCTTCCCTACTCTTGGATGAAAACTCTGGCAGATTCATCATTTCTCTAATCACTTTTAAGTAATAGAAAACCTTATCGTCACTCAGTCACCAATTTCTTATTTAATTCAATAATTAAACATCCAGTCTAATGAAATAGTCAACATTTTCAACACCATTAAAAGTTATAGCTGCTTTTCTTCCCCGCAGCTGGGCCTGCAGTCCTATGAGAAGCACCCTAAAAGGTAGTTTTCTCTTTTCTTTTTCACATTCTGCCCCACTCATCTGATGGTAGAAAAAGCATGTGTGCTAAAAGTAAACAGAGGTAGACTATATTTACTTCACTGTTTTTTGTTGTCAGCTGACTCTTGCATTCTAGGTCTGGCTGATTTATAGCTGACTTACTTGTTAGGAGTGTGTGTGTGTGTGTGTGTGTGTGTGTGTGTGTGTGTGTGTGTGTGGTGTGTTTGGGAGAAAGAGTTCTTTTGAGAAATTCCAATTGTACTGTTTATGTTAAGAGTGATACATTTTCCTACAGCTAGTTCTATTCCACAGTTCTGGTTTTTTGTTTATCCAATCCATACTCTTAAGAGATTTCATCACCTCTAATAGGTTCTCCTAGACAGTTGATTTTCCAAGGCTCTAGGTCAACGTGTAGCCAAAATCTGGTTTGTGGGAGATAGTCTCTCTTGACTTCAGGTGATGTAGAAAACACCCTTAAAACTCTGGCCCTCAGAGGAAGGGATAGAGATATCTAAGGCTCAGTTCTTTCTAAATAATATTAAATTATATTGAATGTCCACATTCACAATCTTAAATACTTAATGTGGAAAAGAAACTTGAATATTATGTGCTAAGTTTTTACTATCTAACCTTTGTTTTGCAAATTTTACAAGTTTTTCTTTTTCTCACTTCATTTTGGCATATGATATCCATTATTTTTGGGTCTTATTTGAAAACTAAAATTAAATATCTCATGACGCTAGTTCTTCTAGAAAATATGTAAGGGCTTTGAGAAAATGAAGTTTAAAATATTTATTTAGTACAGTTTTTTTTTTTGGAACATAGTGTGTTTTTATGTGGGAAGAAAAAAGAAAAATGGAGTATCTGGGAACCTTCAGATATAGCTTAGGTCCTGACAATGATGGAGTTGAGAGACAAAAGCATAGCTGGAAAAATTCCTGTAGTGTGTAGGAAAATGGACTGCTAACATCAATTTGTTCTTTCAAAATCCCTTACATTGAAAAAACAAACACAAAAATGAGGAACCTGAGTATCAAACTACCAATTCGATTTGATTATAGAATTTTTGTTGAGATCTTCATTCATTTCAAATGGGCGCAATATATTGAAATTATAATCATAGAATTCACAGATAAGGGAATTGTTTCAGCATGTAGTTTATTACCTTCACTTTACCGAATATTTTCATGGGCAGATTTAGGCATATAATTCAAAGCCCCTCGTCCTCCCTCATAAGAGACATTCTGAATGGTGCTATTGTGTGTGTGTGTGTGTGTGTGTGTGTGTGTGTGTGTGTGTGTGTGTGTGTTTTCTCCCATGGGGCAGAGAGTGTAGTATAACCTGCTCATTTCCGAACATCACAGGCATCTGTAAGGCTTTAAGACCTAACATTTTTATGGACTGTGTTTCCCTCATTCTAATAAACATGTCCTTATAAATATATAATGAAAACAAATGGTTTGGTCCTTAAAATTTCTAGTAATTAAATTTTGATAAAATTTCAGACACAGTTGTATTTGCTTTAGGGGTGAGAATTTTTCCTGGAAACACCAACAATCTTGTACTAAAAGTGTATGGGAAATAAAATTCCACATAACTTTCACTGAAATTTTCAACAACATTCTTTGTATTAGACATTTATTGTTTTGGGTGTCAGTACAGCTGCCTTTGGGAGCAACTATGTCCTATTTTCTGGGAACAACCTCTCCCTTTGTCTACATGGTGATAAGCACATTCAGAATATTTGGCTTCACTTTTTTGGCCGCAGCTGGTTCAGAGGTGGGGATCCGACATAAGTTGTTCCAACCAATGTTTGGTTTGAGGATTTGAAATGTACATTTAGTAATTCCTTCTATCTGACTTCTCATTTAAAAAGGAAAGATATTTTTTAAAGTATGTATTAGAAGTACCAATCTGGTCTCTATGAAGAAAGAATTATCTAGTTTGTATGAAGAGAATAGTAAGGTTTGTATGAAGGAAAAATGCAGATGAGAAAGAGATAGTGACCCTGAGTCTCAGGCTAGAATTTGTCTCTATGCCTGAGTAGTAGTCTTTACTTTAAATACTATGAGATGTTCCTGCTAGCTTTATAAAAATTTATTTGTTTGTTTAAACTCACTGTATTATGTCCAGTCTGAAACCAAGAGAACAAACAAAACCATTCCTAGGTGATATATACCTAGGTTGGAAAGGAGGTTCAAAGGCCACTAATAAACTTGTCGTTAGCATGTGTTCGTCCTAATGCCCAAATTTCTATTCCCATTGTTTGACATCAAGCATATCATATAACCAACAATCAGCAAATCCTAACTTGTTGAGTCTAGGAAAGTAATAGAAAATACCTACAATTTCCCTGAAAATTTATAGATTTTAGGTAGGTGTTCTTTGATTTGGAATTTTGAGCCGATACAATTAGATGAGAAGACACACATATTTCGTGATAATTTCTTGGCACAGCCTCTCTGCAGTGTGCCCCAGGACAAGCATTTTATAATTCAAGCTATTCTCAAAAATAAATCCCTATTATCAACCAAAAATTCACTTAAAAATAGCCAATAATTAATGCAGTTTGTCAATCTTCGAACATCTATAATTCAGGCTATTTTATTAATACATTTTATCTTCCTACTCAACATATTCTTTTCACCCTCAGGGGATATTAAGTTTTACATTCACAGCTTGTTCAATACCTTTCTTCTCATCATTTTTATCTGTGGTTTTATTGTTGAAGGTATCTGTTGAGTATTCGATTCTCATCACTCAAACATGCACACTACTGCATGTATAATAAGTATGCGCAGACTGCTAACATGTTTGATTTACAAACATCTTTAGTAGGCCTCCAGGTAATCACAGAAAGCACCCCTCCCCATGTCTCTGCCCTTTCATTCCTCATTACTTAATGGAGAAAACAGATTGATCTGTTGTCTGACAATTTGTCATCCTCCACAGCCTGCTGGTGTCAATCAGTGCTAGGGGACAGACATTCATCAGAACAACCTGGACCTTGTCATTAAATGTGGACGTGTATTTCCTATAAAGTTGATCTAAAATCTGAGAACTTATAAAAAAGGGCAGTAAATAGGACACCCCTGAAGGCCACTTGATGGTAACTATTAGCTATCGAACAATAGCAACAGCATTTTGTTCACATCCACGGTTGTGTCTCTTTTAGATGAAAGAAGAGGAGAGAAAGAAGAGGGAAACAAGTGATGCCTGAGAATTCTGAATGGAATAACTGCCAAATTCTTTAGAGTTTAAATATGATTAACAACCATCACACCCTAACAGGGTGAGACACAAGGATGAATTGATTAAGTTTCTAAATTAAAATCAGTCAGAATAGTCTAATAAAGGCTGTCTTTTGTAAGTTGTCATTGTACCATTCGATAGCACTATTTAATAATGCTAAAAGCCCAGCAAAACATCAGAGAAAACTTCAGGGGAAAAAGGAATTAAAATATTTAAAGTTACATTTGTTTCAGAAGAGAGCTGATAACAGTTATCATTAACAAATTTTCTGCTTAAAAGATTGTGAAATATATGTAGTTGGGCATTACTTAGATCTCAGAACAGAGTTCATTAGCAATCAATTTTTTATAGCAGTTACAATTACTTGGAAATTCCAATATTGCTATGAGTATAATCATTTCTCTCTTAAGCTATATTTGAAAAATGCTTATTAAATTGATTAAACATTTTCATTGTATGATTAGTATTCTGATAGTGAAATGTTATTCCCCCGATTTTCTTATCTGGTTCATGGTGATAAGTCAATGACAAGATAAACTGAAAGGATACCACCCTATCATTGAGCTGATGATTACATGTTTAAATTGTGTTTCATCTGCATGTTTCTTAATTATATTGACTATTCTAAAGAAAAGTAACTACAATGAATCTTGAAGTATCATTTTACTAGTTATATAATTTTAAAGTTTCACTTAGTAATTTATTGAAAAGAAAAAGAAAATAGTCTACTTCCTCTAGTCATCCATTCAGTTAGTCAAGTCATTGATTTGCCCACCAATTCAGCAAATATTCACATAGCCATACTAATTTCTGTGCATAGTACTAGGATGTGAATGAACAGTTATGAAAGAAAAATGATTAAGATCTCTCTGTCCTAATGGAATTGTAAACCTAGGTATTGAAACAGAATATAAACAAATCACCACAAATGTATTATTACATTTTGTGAGATATGAGGAATTAAATGGAAAGGTGACATGAGAAAGAATAATAATTTGGAGAAGGGGACTACTTTGAGAGTAAATCAGGTTCATCTTGTTTGATATTTAATCAAAATAGAAAAACAAAGAATAAAAACGGCCCAATATGTAAAGAGCAAGGGAGAACATTCCAGGTAGAAGAAATGCCATGTGTGAAGGTCCTGAAGCTTGGTCTGCATTTAGTGAATGAGGGAAAGAGTTGCACAACATGATTCTGGGAAAATAATCAGGGTGAAGGATTGGGATTATTATTTATGTGTGATGAAAATCGATGATGGTTGTTAAATAAGCAAATGGCCAAATCTCATATGAACATATATACATACATTTGTATTGGTTATATTAATTAGCACACTCCTCTATCTGTTTTATAATCCAACAAAAATGTAAATTCACACTAAGGCAAACATCCCATATCTGTTGGAAAAAATAACCACAAAACAAATTACATAAAATTGATGATAAAGATGTCTGCTGCAGCATTATGTATGAAGGAAATAATTGAGAAAAATCAAAATTTTCAACTATCAGAGTAAAAGGATGAACTTGGGCCAATAATAAAATCAAAACTATAAATATTATTTACATTTTATATATTTATAATTATTACATATATTATAAAGTCCATAAGAATATTTCATAGTAACATTTATGAGGCATGGCCAAAGTACACGCTTAGGCAAATGCATTGACTTAAATTGTTGCGTTGTTTATAACTAGAAAAACTGGGGAACGCGTAAATGTTATTCAGTAAGAAACTGACCAAATAAATTATGCTATGTACACTTTTAGAAAAGTGTGTGTGTATATAGATATATATTTATATTTCAGATTTTAAAATGCAATGAATGTTTAAAAGGTAAATAATGGTTCTTTATTGATCATGGAAGAGAGGGAGTTAATATGATATTCTGATAATTGCTGCTTTAATCCTGGTTGAATATAAATAAAACACAGGCCTCAAAAGTGAGGAAAAACAGCATTTGTGTAACAAGAAAATATGTACTCAATAGTTTACAGGCAAGTTAAAAATACAGTTGACCCTCAAACAATGCAGGACTTAGGAATGCTGACTCCTTGTACAGTCAAAACTCTATGTTTTCCTTTGACTACCCCAAAACTTAGCTACTAAAAACCTGTTGACTGGAAGCATTACCAATAAATAGTATATTAACACATATTTTATATGTATGATATACTTTACTCTTACAGTAAGTAAGATAGAGCAAAGAACATATTGCTAAGACAATTATAAGGAAAAGAAAATATATTTACTACTCATTAAGTGGAAATGGATCACTGTAAGGGTTTTCATCCTCATTATCTTCATGTTAAGTGGCTATTCCCTTTCCCCCAACTATTCTTTTTTTATAGATCCTATCTACTTTGATTCTAGGGGTGCAATATAAACCTAAAATGTCTCCTGGATGAAGATCTGTCTTGCCTCTGTGTGTGGAGCTCTGAATTCTTGGAAACTGTCTTGTGAAAATTTTCTAAATTATATTTAGCAATCAATCCATTACATGTAAAGGAGGAAATCTGGCCCTCTAGTATATGTTCAGAAATGTGTAAGAATCTAAAAAAAATTATATGTCCAGACATGTAGTAATTTAATTAAATCTAATTAAATTTAACAAATAATATACCTGTAGAGATTGGATAAATGGTATGCCATATTATTTCAATATGACAAATGAGCTTAAATCTAAGTAATTTCAAATATTCAATAGTAGGCTGGATGGGGTGGCTCACAACTATAATCCTAGAACTCTGGGAGGCCAAAGTGGGAAGATTGCTTGAGGCCCAGAGTTTGAGATCAGCCTGAGCAAAAGTGAGACCTTGTCTGTACAAAAAATAGAAAAATTAGGTGAGCATGGTGGCCTATGCCTATAGTCCCTGCTACTAGGGAGGCTGAGGCAGGAGGATTGCTTCAGCCCAGGAGATGGAGTTGGAGTTTACAGTGAGCTGTGATGACACCACTGCACTCCAGCTCAGGCAACAGAGCAAGGCCCTGTCTCAGAAAACAAAAAACAAAACCCAATAACTCAGTATTTGTTAGATGGCCTACAATATGTTAATACAATGGTAGGCGACTACAAACCATCATCTTTTGTCATAGACATGTGGAGCAAGTTGCTTACTCTGTTTTAGAGGTTTTTAAAGCATTAATATAACTCTGTTATGTTTAGCTTAATTTATAAGAAATGCATGCATGAAAATTCACAAATCCATACAATTAATACCAAAAAATTTATCAACAATGACTTTTGGAGACACATAGTGATTTTATATACAATCTATATGTAGATTATTCTTAAATATATATATATACACACACACACGTGTATATATATGTGTGTATATATATATCCATCATTGATCTTTTTCCTAAATCTGATATTTTTATCAACTATTCAATATTTCCTCTTGCATGTCTCACATTCATTTCAAAATGATACAGCCTAAATTGAATTTTTTTTCCTCAAAATTTTTCCTCTTCCAGATTTCCAGAATCTGTAGTTGTCTCTGCATCTATCTAGTTACTTGGGCCAGAAATTTGAGGTATCATCTTGCTTGACTCTTCCTTCTCTTTTTATCATTATACCTTATAAATTATCAAGTTAGTTAATTTTCCCCATGACTAGATTAAGACTCCAACGACTTGTTACAATTTTCCCTTTTCTGCCAATTTAGTAAAAACCACAATAATCTTCTGACTATTTGAATAAAATCTCCATGTTACGTTTGTCTTCTGGAAATTAATTTTACACTTAAGCCAGAGCAATGTTTTTAAATACAAATCTACCTTGTACAAATTTAGTTAAAATCCATCAATGACAGAGATTTACCCTTAAAATGAAGGCCCCATTATTTCAGTTTAAGTTCCCATTCCTTGTCTGCTATAACATCCTTTCATAGACGGCTGTGCAAATGTATGGCACACTGGGGGGTGGTGAATAAAATATAAATGTGTAGAGATGTTGGTCTTCTGAGCACTTTGGGAGGCCTGGTTTGGCCTGAGCCCTCAAGAGCAATTACTTCTTTCTATTGAGATAAGCATTCTCACCTATCTTCCCCAGTGCTGTGAATAAGTTTCATAGTCTTCTCAAAGTCTTCTCCACCTCAATAGCTGAAAACTCCATCTTTCCAGTTTCTAAGTCCAAAAACCTTAAAGAGATCTTTGTTGCCTTTTTCTCATAGCCCATATCCATTTTCTCAGTCAGTCTTCCTGGCTCTACCTTCAAATCATATGGTGTTTCCTCTTAAGCTACATTGCTACATCCTTGTCCAAATTTCCATCATCTCTTTTCTATTATTCTGTTGGTTCCTTCCCTGCTTTTCCTAAGTTCATACTTGCACCCTACAGCTTCATTTTCACACGGTAGCCAGAGTAGTCTTTTTGAAATTTGAATAAGATTATGACACTCTGCATAACTTCAATGACTTTCTGTCTCATTCAGAATAAATACCAAGATTCCTACCATGACCTAAAGGCCTTCCATCTACTCAATCCTCTCCCCCTGCTTATTTTCATTAACTCACCTCTTACCAGTCTCCTGCTCATCCACTGTTTTCTAGCCATCTTCTTCTCTTTGCTATTTCTGGAATGCACCATGCATGTTCCCACCTCAGAGCCTCAGTATTTGCCGTCCCCTCTGCCCAGAGTTCTTTTCTCTAAAGTATCTTATGCTTATCTCCCTTGCTCCTTTCCAATGTCCCCTTACTAGACAAGCTTTAGTTATCCTATATTAAACCAGCACCTTATATCCCCTTTAGCCTGTTCTATTTTTCCTTATGGCCCAGGTATATTAAAATTAATTTATTTCATTTTTTTCTCCCTAAATCCCTTTACAACATTAAATCATTAAAGTTGGAAAGCTTGTATTTTTTGTTTATATATTTCTGGTACTTTGAAAAATCTATGGAATATAGTAGGAACTCAATACCTATTTATGAAATGATTAAATGTGTCCAGATAGCATTAGATGCTTACCTTTAGCCCATTTCTTATAGTACTTCCCTCTCACTCACCCCACTTTCACTACATTGACCTATACCTTGTTTG